TTCTTGAAGTTGCTATAATGTGAAATCTGAAACAATATCAAGTAAGTTTTCAAAATGTTCCCTTAATACCCTTTCTATTTTGGACTTTAACTATCCATGGACTGTTCTGTAATACCATACATGAACTATCAGAAAATAATGGCTAAGTTTGGCAGATCGTCCAAATGTGGAGACAATTCATGAAAATATCAGAAATTGGGGCTGGAGAGATGGCTCAGTGGTTAAGAACACTGGGTGTTTTTGCAGAAGACCCAGGTTCAAATCCAAGCACCCACATGGCAGCTAACAACTGTCTATAATGCCAGTTCCAGAGGATCTGACAGCTTCTTCTGTCATCTGCGGCCATTGCACAACATGGGTGCACTTACCTACATGCAGGCAATACACGCAAACACATAAAAAATAAAAATAATAATAAAATTTTAAAAAAAGAAAATACCAGAAATTACATTCATCAATATTACTACCCAATCTTATCAGAAAAAAAAAAACACAAAAATATTAAAAAGACAAAAAGTTAGAAGTATACATACAGAAACAAGTGTTCAAAAGCTCTCAACACTCACTGCGGTGGTTCTAAGAGCTCACCTGATTTCACCACTGACACACATGCCCTCAACTGTTCCCTTTGAAGTAACAGACCAGTGCATCTGCTTTCAGAAAACACCTGTGTAATACCTGTTTGAATCAGTTTTCCAAGCAGCCCTTCAAGTAAAAACCATGCTCTAAAAAATAAAAATAAAAAACCCCAGCAGGTTCTGCCTACAAGTCAAACAGCAGTACAAATGCCTCCCTGTTGCACCAACCACTGAGCTGTGGCCTGCAGGAGCATGTGTACACGCTCCCCATTTTGTTAGCTAGAACACTAAAAACCGTGGGCCTGAATAAAGCTGGTGGCCCTCGGCTTCACTAAGGGTATTCTTAGGCGAAACAAGCTTGCTGCAACTGCACTTAGGGCGCCCCCTCTGATTCTCACCAACACTAGCTCTTGCACTACCATGGCCTCTGCACTGTTCACCACAGTGGTCAACACAGGGGAAAGGACAAATGACCCCATAGTGCTGTTAAAAGAACAGCTTGGACTTCAAAGATTAACTTCCTTTTTTAAAAAATCTTTTTTTGGAAACAGGGTCTCCCTGTAGCCCCAACTGGCCTGGAACTCACTGTGTAGACCAGGCTGGCCTTAAATTCACAGAGATCAGCCTGCCTCTGTGTCCCAAGTGCTGGGACTAAAGGTATGCACCACCATGCCCAGCCCTTCACAGATTAACATTCATAAAAGCAGCTCAGAGACCCCATTGTTCTTCATTCCCACACTTTGGAAACTACTACTCAAGACTATCCAAACACCTTTCACAATTTCCCTACAGAGAATGAAGCTATGTGAGTTTTCTAACCCTAAAGAGAGGAGAAACCACTGAGAATAAGCTCTACATGACAGCGGGAAGGCTCCTCAAGTAGGGGGTCAGGAATTATGGGTTTCCAAGGACAGATAATTAGATGGCTCTCGTTTTGTTTCTCCTATTTCTATACCAAGTGTCTTGGAGAACTGGTACCAAACCTCAAAAGACAGAAAGCAATTACAGCAGGGTAATAGTGATACTGAAAAGATTTTCACCAGACAGTTGGATGCCTCAAGGTTGCTTCAAAATATTAACTTACAATTTATTCCTTCTTTCCGGAAGCTGAAATGATTCTTTTTACCAACAACCAGATTCTGATCATAACATGGTGTTAGCTGGAAACTATATACATTTTAATAGAGAAGTGTCATCTCCTCAACTCACACTATCTCCTCAGCTCACATTAAAGATGTTTTAATGCCACCTCACATACAGAATTTTACAGAGCCACAAGTGTTTGTCCACAAAACCATTACATTTTACAGAAGCAGAGAAGCATCAATTTTGCTCACTATACCTGAGTACCTAACACAGGTCTTATATAACAAAAGACACTGAATACACTTTGCAGAATGTTGTCGTATTTCAAACGAGAGCTGTACCATTTACCAGACTCCTACTGACCACGAACCCAGCACTTCTTCCTTTTACTGTTACATCTCCACATCCTTCCAAAATAACACCTGTGAGAAACAGTGGAGCCGTCACACAGCCTGAGGAAACACAGCGGTACCTGAATACATAAATGCCTCATATGATGAGGCATTACTTTATTGGTTCCATTCAGACCACAGCTTAAAAACCAAAGCAAACAGCTTTGCTACTTTTATCTATAAATACCTACTATCCAAATTAAGAAAGGAAGGGATTTTCCATGCCTACATGAAGACACTCTTAATTCAGTCACCATTCAGCAAGTATTACCTCAGACAATACGAAATACTTCATTTTCTGAGATCCAGAACAGATAACTTCCTGAAATCTCTTTATCCTTTTATTCAGGATACTTACTGATTTTAAAAAAATAAAAGTCAGCTATATAGGACAGCACATCTAACAATAATGTCACTAGAGTCTTTTAAAAAATACTTTATCAGCCGGGCGTGGTGGCGCACGCCTTTAATCCCAACACTTGGGAGGCAGAGGCAGGCAGATCTCTGTGATTTCGAGGCCAGCCTGGTCTCCATAGTGAATCCAGGACAGCTAGGGCTACAGGGAGCCCTGTCTCAAAAAGGCCAAAAAAAAAAAACCAAAAAACTATCTGCAGAACATGGTAGCTCACATACACAGTCACAGCTCTCGGCAGGCTAAAACAGGACTGCTATGAGTTTAAGGCTAGCCTGCGCTAGAATGTGAGGCTCTAAGTCAAAAAAAAAAAAAAAAAAAAAAAAAAAACCCTGTCAGTTTGGTATTTATCAGCATTTCTCACAAAAACAAATGCAAAAACTGAACTACCTTGTTGTTGATATTCAGGATTTTTAAAGAATTAATCAAACTTAAAGCTACCAAACTTGAAATGAAATTCAATCACAGAAATAGCATAAATTTAAGGAATGTAATTTATTAACTGAGGAATTGAAGCCATTGGCAGTGTGGCTGAAATCTCACTTCAGAATAGTACGTCCTACCAAGAAGACTGTCCATGGAATGGCCTTCTCTTGCAACAGAAAGCATGTGAATCAGATGCCTTTTAAAGAAACTTTATATACAAATATATATACATATGTTTTTTCATTCCAGTAAAATCTTTAAAGACAGACCATGGGTCCATCTTCTGTAGAGACTTAAAAAAAAAATGTTTCAAATGTCTAGAATGGCTTAGCTTTGGCCTCACATTTGGCAACTGAGACAAAATCAGTTCAGAGGTCAGTGTGACCCAAGGGATTCCAATCTCGGTCACACCAAACAAGTCATTCGCAAACTTGGTCCTGTGCTGCAGCTCTCCAGTCCTGCTTCAGCTCAGAGGCCTGATTCTTCAAACTGCCCTAACCACTAATTAACATGTCAGCTGGGGGGATAACTCTTCCACCACTGAAAACTTGCCTTTCTTGTGTTCTGCTGTCCCTTCATCCTGTTTCCCCACCATTCCTACAGGGAAATATTCTGCAGTGCAATCAGTATCTACTTATTAACAATGCTCCTCTCCACTGTTCTATCCAAACCTGGATTTCGTACTCAATTTCAGAAACAACTGAAGGAAAGTAACAGGTAACAGAAATCAGAGCTCTTAATTTAATGTAGAGCCACAGTCAAAAGAGAAGAGACATTCCAGAGAGGGGAGGAAGGGGCTGAGAGGTCAGAGTGCAGACCACGTACTTTGAGGAACAGAGTGTCCCTGAGACTGCTGGTGAGTTGCCAAAGCTCTTCAGTCTCAACCCAAATGACAATGCTTCCCTGCGTCCTCAAATAACGTTTCCACCGCTAAAAACTGCATCTACAAGAGCTCAGACATACTGGTAAAAACCATGTCAGGGCCCCGGGTGGGCCTCGAGCCTCTTTTACAGTAGGATGGCTTCTGTGCCCTCGGCCAAATCCATGCGGACTATCCCGCTGCCTCTTCCGGGTGCTAGCTACCCAGCCACGGCTTCTCTTCTGAGTGCCACACCTACTCTATTTCTCCGGGTTCCTGTACCCCAAGACTGGCTGTGGAGTAGGACCCGCTTCCCCCTTCCTTGCGGTCCATGAAAGAAACACACAGGCTCTTCTACTTTCAGTGTTTTTCTAATGGCTACAAGAGGATAGAGAGGGAAAACAAAAACCAACAACACAGCACCAGAGATTAGGGCTTAGCAATCGGCTCGACTTTCAAGTCCCCGCCTCCGAAAGGTAAATGTTCTGCGGCTTACTTGTTTACAAATACAAATAAACAATTGTACTCTAAACCAATTCCACTCTTACAAAAACCTGGCGATAGTTTGCTTTTCAAAGCACTTGAACATGGGTCCAAAAATACCAAGTAGTTTCCTTCTTTTTAGAATGGTGTTTCCTTAAATTTAGGGGGCATTTAAAAGCTTAATTTTAATACTTAGCATGACAAAAACCACAAATGCTTTATCCACTGTAAATGAGAACTCATATTAAAAGTACTTTGAGATTTACAGATAGTTATGTCTAAAGCAACTGGTTTTACTGAGACAACAAAATGTTGACATGTTTATACACTTACAATTTTAATAAAATTCTATTACGCTGTATTTAAAAATCAGAATACGTCGTTTCTAGAAAAAAAACTTTTACTGAGTATTTAGACTTTGTCAAAATTATAGCGACTCTTTTTTCAAGGAACAAGAAACCCATGGGCCTGCTTACTGTGGTGATTTGGATTTCAATAGACGTCATAATATCAAAGTAAGTATCTTACGTAAATACTGTTGCAGACAGGGCTCTGGGTGAAACCAAAGGCTTCCCCTGCCCTCTGTGACTAGGTGCAGACAGATCTAGAATGTCAATGACTTTGAATTTCCTAGATGGTTTTCTTTTTCATTTAACTTATTTAAGTGGTTTTTAAAAAGGCGGTTACAATGCTACACGCTTACAAATACAATAAATTTAGGGCTGCAAATAGGCAAGGATCATTTCATTTGTGTAACAGATTACCGTTTCATTGAAACTGAGGCTATTCCGATACTCGGGGCAAAAATTCGCCCCCGGGATCGCCTGCCAACCACTTATGCACAGAGTATCAGGGAGACGATGGATGGAAACAGACGCAGAGCCTCGGCCCGGCGCTCCCAGGCGTCCGAACGTTTGGAAAGTTGAACGCAGCAGTATTCTCTCTACCGGGAGAGGTTGGGAAATCGCACCGCGGCCTCCCGGACCCCGCAGGCCAACAATGCCGGGTGCGGAGCGGGGATCCCCGGCGCCACGACTGCGCCGTGTGCGCTGCGGCCGCGGCGGCCTCCTCGGGCCGCGCCTCCCGGCTGCTCGCAGCGCCCCG